GATGGGATTGGGATAATAGTTGTTGGCAGCCACAGTCAGGGGCAAGGAATGAGGGCACTGGGGATAGGGCCCCTGCCCTTGGGAGGGTGATGTTATGATGAGGTTTCCAGACTGCTATGTGACCAGGTATCTCTCTCCTTGCATCAGGATGTGCTCTCCAGCTCTTCTGTTGCCAGTAGAGATGAGAAGCTGGACACTGCCTCACTCGGGTATGTCTTCCAGAGCTGGCTAGGACCTGGTGGATAGGGACCTCCAGGTGGGGGCCATAGATCCTATAGATCTGGAGCCAGGAGAATGGCGGTGTTTCCATTATTTAATGTAGGATCTGAGCTTCCTTGGGACACAACTGGTTCTGCCTCTTCATTTGAGCTCATTGATAGGTGTCAGGAGCTTCAGGCTCTGGCAGTGGGACAAAGGGGGCCACCCTCCCTGGCTAGGTTAGGCAGTCAAGTCCCAAGAGTTGACAGCACTGGACACAGTTTCCAGGAGCTGCACCCTCTCTGTCAGGTAAAGTGCCGACCAGTGGAGGGCAAATGGCCACGTACCTTCTGAGGGTTCCACCCCAGCTCTGAACAGCTTTAAGAAAGTATGTTCACAACCAGTCTAAAGAGCTTTGATTTCTTTATTATTTATTTCGAATGAGATAACCTCATCCTTCCTCCAGGCTGAGTTTCGGAGGCGGGTGGGTGGGTGGAAGGGAGGAGGCTGAGCCATCTGATTCCTCTTCAGCAAAAATGAATCATGTCCCCCAGCCCCCATCCTCAGCCCAGAAATATTTATCCATGTTTATATAACCATGGCAACAGGCTTTATTCTCTATCACTTAAATCCTTTTTTAAAAATAAAAAGCAGAAGGCAGCTATTTTTCCTACTTTTTCCACCTGCCTGCTCTGCCCAGATGAGAGTTACCTCTTCAGGAACAAGGCGAGAGAGAGACCCCCCACACACACACACACTCCTGGGGTAACATTGGCCTTCTCAGAAGCAAGGGAATAGGTAAGTTGCAATGGCCCAGCACCACGAAAGGACTTCAGAGTTAGACAGTAATTGTCCTCCAAAGTCTTGTGGGAACCACACAGTGATACCACCTCAGACTTGTCTAAAACTTCTCTTTTGAGTTCTGCACTGGTATTATGACTATCAATTTGTTTTCTTGCTGTCTCTCTCTACCTGAAAATGGATGGAATGTGAGCTGGCTTTGCTAACAATACATTCTTCATCTGCAAGATGGGGTAAATATTCCCCTGCTCCTGACTACTTCACAGTTAGTTTTCAGAAGAGAGTTGCTTTTTTGAGATGGAGTCTCGCTTTGTCACCCAGGCTGGAGTGCAGTGGCGTGATCTTGGCTCACTGAAACCTCTGCCTCAGCCAGGTTTGGGCGATTCTCCTGCCTCAGCCTCCTGAGTAGCTGGGATTACAGGCGCCCGCCACCACGCCAGGCTAATTTCTGTATTTTTAGTAAGATATGGGGTTTCATCATATTAGCCAGGCTGGTCTCAAACTCCTGACCTCGTGATCCGCCCACCTCGGCCTCCCAAAGTCCTGGGATTACAGGCATGAGTCACTGTGTCCAACCCAGAAGAGAGTTTTGTAAGGAGTATAAAGTGTTACAGACTCACAAAGGTTTAAACCCATAAGCAGGGGAAATTGAGGCCCAGTAAAAGGAAAGCATTTGTGCAAGGTCATACTCTGTTGTCAGCAGCACAGAAGACCTAACCACCCAATCTTAGGTTCTTGCTAAGAGATCAGCCCACTTCTTTTGGATTTTCAACCCTAGTCAGCCTCCCAACTTCCAAGTGGATTCCAGCCCATGAAGCCTCAGAGATGGAGAAAACTGGGGCTTACACTGGACCCTAAAGACTATTTCACCAGGCCAGGCATGGTGGCTCATGCCTGTAATCCCAGCACTTTGGGAGGCCGAGGCGGGCGTATCACGTGAGGTCAGGAGTTTGAGACCAGCCTGTCCAACGTGGTGAAACCCTGTCTCTACTAAAAATACGAAAATTAGCCAGGCGTGGTGGCAGCCGCCTGTAATCCCAGCTACTCAGGAGGCTGAGGCGTGAAAGTCGCTTGAACCTGGGAGGCGGAGGTTGCCCTGAGCCAAGATCACACCACTGCACTCCAGCCTGGCCGTGAGACTGTCTCAAAAAACAAAAACGAAAACAAAAACAAAACAAAACAAAAACACTGTTTCAGCCACAGATCCACAAACGTTTACTTAGAGTTTCTTACATCTGACTACCGTGCTGGAGACTGGAGATGGAGCAAAGCAAGGCCCTTCAACTTGGGGAACCATTTTGTGGTGTTTCTCCGCATTAAAGGCCCCCTCTGTGGACTATATGTCAGCGCTGGGTCCTTTCTCTCCCAGTCCCATAGTATTCAACTACAGAACTTCTTCAGCTGGACTGGAAACCACAACTCTGTCCTTGGGGGCGGCTCTCACTCTGAACATCTGGTGGGTCCCATAGAAAGGGATCTCTTGGAGGATTTCTGCCCACAGCTGCAGAAAAGGCAGGAGGGGCAATGCTGCTCAGACTGGTAGGGCCAGAGTTGCCTGGGCTCGGCCAGCGGTCACTGACCAAATTCAGCCCATACTGTGCCTCTTTTTTCTTTTCTGTATGCATTGGCTACAGCTGCCCCAGCTTCGCCCAAAAGGACTCTTGGGGCTAGGCTGAAAGCTGTGGGCAAGAGCTATTGTACAACAGAGGACATGGGGTTGTTAAGTGGAGGCCATTCAACTGGACTCTGCAAACTGTTCTAAAGATTTAATTCTCTCTCTCTCTCTCACCCTCCCTCTCTTCACACCCTCCATTTCTGTCCCTCCTCCCTCCCTGCGCCATGTGTCTGTGTCTCTCTGTATCTCTCTCTCCTCCTTCTCTCCCCCGTCTTTTTTTTGTTTGTTTGTTTTTTTAGATGGAGTTTTGCTCTTGTTGCCCAGGCTGGAGTGTAATAGCGCCATCTCAGCTCACTGCAACCTCCGCCTTCCGCTTTCAAGCGATTCTCCTGCCTCAGCCTCCGGAGTAGCTGGGATTACAGGCATAGGCCATCACGCCCAGCTAACTTTGTATTTTTAGTGGAGATGGGGTTTTACCATGTTGGTAAGGCTGGTCTCGAACTCCTGACCTCAAGTGATCCACCCGCTTCCGCCTCCCAAAGTGCTGGGATTACAGGCGTGAGCCACCCGCGCATCTATCAATAGTTAGCGTATCTGGCACTCTTAGCTGCCACCGACGGACCGATCGCGGCACCGGCACCGTTCGTGCCTTCTCTGGTGTTCTTACAGTTGTCCCACTCAGAGACCTCAAATCCTGCCTGGGGCAAACTTTTCCCCGTTAATTACCTTGAAACAACACGTCGCTAATTGCCTAATTACTCTCTGTGCTCTGCGCCACCGTCCCCGGCTGGCCCGGCCGGGCGCGGCGTCTCCGCGCTGGGAGGGAGCAGCGCTGGCGCACGCGGAGCCGGGCGTCCAGGGCTGGGGCTGGGAAGAGCAACCCCGCCGGTCTGCCGAGCCCATCGGCCTATGGAGCCCATCGGCTGCAACTTCATCCTCCAGGGCCTGGCTGGCGCTCGAACGGTTCCTGTTCGGCTCGAATAACATCGGAGCATCCCAGCCTTTGAGCGCTTCGCCAAAGGCCAGAGCGTCAGCTAGGTTGACTGACGCCGAGCCCTGGGGAGAGAAAGGCTTGCTCCCTGCCCACCCCGGTGAAGGCCCCAGGGAAAACAGGCACACCCCCTACCCCGTTTCATGTTTTCATAAAAATCATCGTCTGAAATTACCGTGCTTACCGTGTGTGTGTGTTTACCTGTTTATCTCGCCTCCCCTTCTTCCCCATGTAAGTTCTTGAGAGCAGGGACCTCGCCTATCATACTCAGTATCCCCAGCCCTACAGCCTTGCCAGGGGCGCAGCCGACCCTCGGCGGCTTTGTGTGATAGGCGTGAACCGGCCAAGCGGCGGCGTCTCTGCTCCGCCTGAGAGGGCAGGGCTTCGAGGACCTCACTCTAGGAGTGAGGCGGGAGCCACATTCCCAGGGTCCTCTTTGGGGAGAAAAGAGCTTCTGAGGGACTTCTGGGGATGGCAGCGGAGGGGGTGGGGGTGTGTCCTTCCTGATCGGAGTTTGGGGAAAGGGACTGACACTATGGCACTCTGCCTCTTACTGACATGACACCGCTACCCAGTCCCTCCCAGTAAAAATGTGCTCTCCCTTTATGACCACACGAGGGTCATGTGCTTCGTTGGGGGCCGCCGTACGGCCTGGAATCACGATGTCCTCCGCCGCGCTGGCCGGGACCAGGTGTGTCCCCGCTAGCCCCAGTAGCTGCGCCCGGGTCCTGTGCAAACACCGTGGTAGGGTCGGCCTCGACCGCCCAGCCCGGCCCCCCGGCCGCCCTGCCCATTGGCTGAAGACAGCCCCCCTGAATCCTCATTGGCTGTCCCACTTTTCCCTCCGCCCTCAGCACCGACCGCACGCTGCCAGCCGCGGGGGAAGCGGCTCTAAGTCCCGGGCTCGCAGCGCAGGCTCAGCTTCGCGCGGCTGGCGCTACGGGCGCAGGGGCGGGGAGGCCGCCCGGCGCGCAGTTTCCAGTGGGGCCGGGGTCCCACCCGGGCACTCTCTGTTTGAACCGAACCCGACAAATGGGCGCATGACGATGGAGAGCAGGGAAATGGACTGCTATCTGCGTCGCCTCAAACAGGAGCTGGTAAGAGCGAAGCTGGCTCCTGGGCAGGGAGGACTGCTCCGCCCCGACGGGCACCTGGTCCCCGCCCGGGCACCCGGGGGGCCGGTGCGTAAGCAGGGCGGAGGAGGGCCAGGGAAGAGAGGGGAGGACGCGGGCCGGCAGGCAGAGAGCCGGGCTTGTCCTCAGGAAAGGGGGCCACGAAGAAACTTTGAGCAAAGATTTGTGATGAGACAAGAACAAGTGACAGAGAGACAGAGGGAGCAAGCCAACCAGGCTGAAATGTGACACAGAGAACCCCAGGGAGAAAACAGTGCACGCCCAGAGACGGCCAGGCACTCGGACGCAGTGGGGCCCCCGCACCGCCGACGCGGAAAGCGCGGGAGCCAAGGTCTGGGGAGCGAGACGCGGGCGCCCGGGTGCTGGGCTGCGCAGGCCGGCCTGGAGCGCGCCGGCGGGCGGGGCGCGGGGAGGAGGAGGGTGCTGGGGCCTGATCCCTGCCCGGGCACGAGGTCAGCGGGACTGCTAGCTCGAGGGGAGCCGGTACCACCCTGGGCCCCCAGCTCTGCTGGGCTTGGCAGAGCTGGCGCGGCTGCGGGGGCAGGCTTGGCCGGCTGTCTGCCTGGGCTTGTCTGCCAGCAGGGAGGGGGCTGGCAGCTGGAAAGGCGGGGGAGGGCCCTGCGCTGGAGGAGGGGCTCTGCCTGGCAGATCGCGAGCGGGAGCTGCGGAGGCCCAGCCAGATGTCAGGTCTGGGCTTGGGGAGTGCACAGGGAGCGTTCGGAGGCCCTGGAGTGCAGGGAGGGGGAGAAGTAACTCAGTCTGGGGAGGGGGAAATATCACCGAAGTCGTGGGAGTGGTGTCCGCTAAAGCTATGTTAGGGAGAGCCAGGTTGATTCTCACTGGCTTCATATACCACTACCCCCGCCCCCACGCCACCTGCCATCTTTCTTATTCCTTCACCCACCGGAATTCAGGCAAATGTTATGCACATACAGCCCCATCTCTGCTTTGCCCATCTCTCCTTCCACCAGGCTCTGTTGTGTCTTTGCCTTTCGTCTCTTTTTATCTCTTTTAGTTTGTCTCTCTTGGAGTCGACTCTTCTCAGTCTCACTTTTCTGCTCTCCTCTTTCTTCTTACTTTCCAGAGCCAGGGGCACCCAGGCCACACAACAGCAGACCTGCATCTAGAAAGGGCCAGCTTATGGCTCTCCGGATTCTGTGACAGCCTTTCCCACTCCTGCCTGCAAAGGCTACACTCTTCCTGCTTGGGAAGGAAATTGGCAGTGTGTTAGGGGCCAGCTCTGGGGGTGGGGGCAGAGTTTGAAACTGCAGGTGTTCTCACTGATGCTTCCTGACCAAGTCACCCTGCCACTCTTCCTGTCAGTCCTACTCCAGGGTCTGCCTGCTCACATCAACCATCATTTCTCTCTCTAGCCCTTCCTCCTGGAGCCCTTTCTGTGGTGACACTCAGATGCGAAAGTTACTGACTCAGAGAGATACTTCTTGAGAGACAGGAATATTCATTGCTGTTCTTCTGAACTTACACCATGCCCCTTCCCATAGTCGTTTGCACATGCTTCTCATGCCAGATTGGGATGGCTGGCCCCAGCCCACACGTACACATACACAATTCTCATTTTTTCCCATTTATGTGTGCAGTACCAGAAAGCAAGCTCAAGGTCATCACAGATAATGTCTGAGGTCCAAGACCCATGCTGAGAAAAGAATCTAATAGAATCCTCCTTTTTGTGCTTCGAGTTGGGGACTACACCACCCACCTCAGGATCTGCCTTAATGGAGGGTTTGTGGGTGTTCCTGGCATGGGCTCGAATTTTTAAATCCTGCTGATTTGCATTTTTTACAGCACTCTAGGTGGGAGGTGGTGAGGGGAGGAAGACAGAGACTACGGATGCCAGGAGAATAAAAAAGGCAACTAGAAATCTGCACTGAGCTGAGCTTCACATCTTGATTTGCACCCCCTCCTGCCAAGGACTTGAGCCCCCAATGCCTGGGAGGAGGAAAGGGAGAGGCTGAAGTCACTGAGCGCCCCATTAGCTTTCATTTGGCCCTTTGTCTGAGCAGCTTCAGCCTTTGACTCTCTTGGAGAGGAAGCCAAATGCCTGGCCTGGATCCCAGAATGACACTCAGATGGGAGAGCTCTGCACTACCCCCCATGGTGCTCCGCCCCCTCCTCAATGCCAGCCTGCTCAGAGATGAGACAGAGCAGAAGGACAGACAGAGCTAGTAGAGTGTCACTTGCTCCCTGACACCTCAGTTCAGTGCTTAGGTAGCTGGGCCAAATCTCAGTGCCTTAGTATCCCCAACAGTAGCAAAAGGGAAACTAGAGCTGAATTAGCCCAGGGTCAGCCCTTTGGCTGCCTTGCCCAGGGACAGTAGGGATTGAATTCAATGCAGCTTGCTTGTGACTGGTGTTGACTTAATACCCTAGGTCACAATGGGGTGGGAAAGGAATACAGTTGGTTTCTGTCATGAGCTAGGGAGCTTTTGCACTGCAAATGGCCCATCCCAGGCAGGATCTCCCTTGCCACCCAGAAGACATTGTGTGCCTGGCTCTGCCCTTAGTTCATGTTTACACAGGCATGGCCTCCTGTAATACTGGTCAAGTTCTATGTTCATTTCTTTCAGTAAATTTCTCTCAAGAATCACACACTCTGCAGACACTGTGGGATAAACCTGCTGGAAAACAAAACATTAACAGGTTGTGAAATTATCTTTGTCAAGGGTGTTTTATGCTCCCCTCCTGCATCCTATCCCTGTCCTTGGCCCAGAAAATCTAGACAAGAAGAGTGTGTTTCTGAAAACCAAAGTAGTGGAACTTCCCAATTCCCTGAGGCAGAAAATGTCATTGTAACAGGTGAGCGCTGAGAGAAGGCTGAGGGTTTGGGGATCCTGGCTCAATTAGTTGATAAGTAGAGAGCTGGCCCTTTCCTTCTGCCTGGAAAGGGAAGGGGATCGGGTTTCAGGGATGAAATGTGGCAGGAGAAGTAGCAGCAGCTGACACACTTCTTCATTAGAATGAGGGCTTGGGGCTGCAACAGCTCAGCAGGGAACACATCTCTTTTCTCCCTCCAGCCGCCAAAGAGGGGCCCTGCCTGAACACAGGCCTTGGGACCAGCTGTTCCATACACACAGCTCCCTTGTGGGCTGCCAATAAGTGGGGTAGACACAGGCACACAGACGAGGCAGATGTATGATGCTCACAGGGCATCCCTCGTGAGTTCAGATCTGTGTAGAACAAATAGAGTGCGTAAAGGCTGAGTGATCAGAGCTCATGAAGTACAACCAGGCTGGGAAGGCTTCCTGGAGGAGGGAGAGGTTGCAGGAGGCCATCTCTGAGAATGTCTGTCATAGCTGAGGCATGGGGAAGCAGTTCTCTAGCTTTTAGTGGCCACAAGTTCAGGGGTTTCTGGCAAATGGGTAAGGACTGGGGCCTAAAGGCAAAATAAGGAAAAGAAAAGTAGGAAATGGAGAGGATACAGTAGGAACAGCCTTCAGATCTTGGGGCAAAAAGGCAAATTTCCTGAGGCAGAAAAAAGCTTTTGCAAAGGATCTCATAATGCATCTTCTTTGATGTTTAATGTTGGGGAAAGATGACTATGTGACTAGTTAGGCAGTGTGGTCATCGGGAAGAATGCAGAGTATAAGATTTGGGGTCAGACCAACTTCAACTCAAATCATGGCCCTGTGTGACCTTAATATATTACTTAACCTCTCTGTGCCTTGGTTTTCTCATCTCTAAAATGGGGGTTTAAAATACCTACTTTACACGGCTACTGTGAAGATCAAATGACAATTTAAGTGCCTCACCAACTGTATGTCCTTCACATGTAGCACAGTGTCTGATGTGTCGTAGGCACTTGGTAAACTGTTGATGATGGATTGATCAGACTGTTTTGCATAAGAGTCATTCATAGATAGAACATGTTATTGAGTTCATACTGTGTTTAGGGCATTTACTGGGCACTGGCACTATCATTACAAACAAACAGACACAGATCCTGTCTTCAGGGAACACACAGTTTAATAGAAGATATAATAATAACATTACTTGATGTTAACATTGATATGCCAGACATATAATTTATGATGTCATTTAATTGCCAAAACAACACTAAGAAGTTGTACTTTCATTATTCGCACTTTATGAATGAGTCAATAAAGACATGCGAAGGTTAAGTCACTTGGTTAAAGTCATAGAGCTGGTAAGCGGAGGAGCCAGGATTCAGACCCCACCAGTCTGATTGCAGAGCTTATGTTCTCAACCGGTACATGTATGCAGACCTCTGGGGCAGAAATAGAGGAATTGTGTTATGTAACAAGCACAGGTTCAGTGCTCTGAGAGAGGGAAGTAAACTCCAAATGGGAGATTAGAGAAAGCTTCATGTCTTGGAAGAGGTAGCATTGGAACTAGACTTTGAGGGATACATAGGGACACGCACAGGAGAAGAACAGCAATCCAGGCAGATAATGAAACAACATGAGCAAAAGGTACAGAAGCTGAAGTGGTGGGGATGTCTGAAGAGCAGCTGGAGTTTGCCTAGAGCACAGGGTAAAATGCAGAGAAAGAGTGGGCAACAGTGCTGAAAGAGCTGTCGTGGACACACTCTGGATGTCATGCTAAAGAGTCTGGCCTTTTCTGTATGCATTGGAGAGCAGCCCTGGGATCCAGAAGGTGATATGGGGTAGAGGTGGAGGTGGAGGGAGGGAGGAAATTGAGGCAGGAGGATGAGTTAGAAGGTTATTACAAGAGTCAGCCAAGAGATACTGAAGGCCTGAACCAGAAAGGAAAAAAAGAAGGTAACTTCTTGAGGTCCCTTGGATGTTTGAGGAAGTTGATTGACTGCAATGGAGAGGAGCTAAAGCTGGTCAGAGGGAAGAGGGCTTGCGGAGACTAAGAGGCAAGCTCCAGGAAGAGGCAGCATTGGAATCCCCTCTCCATCTGTCTGCCCCTTGCCTGAGCATGTGACCCCCATAGATGGTTCTGTTGGGAAAGTGGGTCCATCCATTTCACAGCCCTCACTTTCTCCTTTCTTTACCCTCCTCTCTCCTACAGCTCTTGGCACAGTTTCCACTTTACCTTCCTGTTGAGAGTTCCAGCCAAGTGTGAGGGGCTGTGAAGGTCCCTATTCACTGAGCTGGAGTATGGGCCACTTGGCACAGTGGGGCTTTTCCCATTTCCGGCCCTCAGCCTCCTCCTAGCTTCCCCAGGGGCTGAAAGGAACTTTGTGGGGATCTTGTGAGTAATGGGGTGGGGGAAGTGAGGCAGGGCACACAGCCAGGCTCATGGGCAAAGCTGGAGCCTGTGTGAAAGGATTCTGGCTGAGCTGGGAGAGGGCGTGAGATGGATGGAAGGACGGCACAGCTGCGGGAT